TTCATTAGTAATAATACTTTACAGTAATTCATTGGTTGTTATCTACTATAGCGATAATTTTTTATTTTCCTTTTAACGAAATGATAGATATATTTTTTAATTCTTTGCTTAGATTGCTTTTGCATCTGCATTTACAGATAATTGATAAATTGGACGATAAATTTTAACCTTTTCTTTATTTCTGAGCAAATGCCGCTAATATGTTTCTTCTGGATAGCAAATGTTTTAAAGAAGTTGATTATATTTTACCATATATTTGCTTTTATAATCACAGGTCTATACCTTTTTAAGTATAAAATCAACTCTTTTTAAAGGAGCGACTTATGGAAAGAAAATCACAAAAAATAATAGTTGATAAGTGGGGATATATATTGGTAATGACTTGCATGAATCAAATAACAGAAGGATGACGTTTGAAAATATTTTAGTGTTAAATTTTTTTTCTAGAAATGAATCGAGAAGTTTCCTTTTAAATTCGTCGAAATTTAAGGTTTTGCTGTAGATCACTTTCACACATTAGCCTCCAAATGCAGTTTTTTATGGTATTTTCGTTTTGAATCCTAAACATAGTTTAAAGGCAAGCATGTTCTGGCCAAAGCTCTCCACTTACACTTCTGCATACACACTGACAATTTCTTTGAATTTATAGAGATGAGTATTACAGTTATTATGAAGTTATTATTATCTTCATAATAAGCAGTTATTATGAAGAAATAGTCTGCTGCCTAGTTTTGATATAGGTTTTGGCTAGATTTTCGACAATTTCAGTACAATATTTTAGTTTTGTGATTATCAGTGAGGAATTATTCAGTAAATCCTGTTTGGTGTATTAGCAGTGCCATTAGCACCTTCTGGCCGTCAAATAAGAGCTCCCATTTGTTCGCTGTGAATTCCTAACCTCTACCATGTTATGATCAGTTCATCCTATGATGGAGTTCGCATTGCGACAAGGCCAGAAATAGCAAGGATATTTTTTGAAATTTGTTTGAAGAACCATCAAGAATTTCATCATTTTTATCTTTCCAAATGCCTTTAAGTCATATTCATTATATTTCAAAACGCGTACTAGTAAAAAAGTAGGCCTTCTAGTCAACATAGATCTTATCAGATATTCTATCAGATTATCAGATATTCGCTCTGTTCTAAATAAATTTTCCCGTAACGTAACCTGACAGACGTTTGCAGAATCGAGACGATATTCTTATATTTAACTGCTGTTTCTTTAGTAAGCTATTCCGTAATAAAAATAAGGTATAAATAAATAAGTAGAAATAAGTATAATAAAAATAAGTATATAAATAATAAAAATAAGTGTATAAATGAATAAGTATAAAAATAATAAAAAACTAACAGGATGATTAAAGGTAACTCTGAAATTTTTTAGATACGCTCAAACGATAAGTGGTAGGAAAAAAATTAACAGTTAGATTTGAAAATATGAACTATTTTAGCCTATCAGACGACTTTTTTACTGGTCAGTTGCAAGTAGGTTAGCTTAAAATAAATTTTGGGCAGAAGGAAAATAGAACTGAAGCGAGAATATTATCTCGCTATGATTTTCTATGATTTTAAAGTGGGATTAAATTAAGAAGAATGCGTTCAACGCCTACAATTAGCGTTTGGAAACGAAGGTCCACGTCGTGATTGTATTCAGAATTTCATAGATGTCTCAACTCTCTTCAGGATGAATAACACACAGGAAGACCGTTGTCAGCTGTAATCCCGGATATTATGTCTGCCATACGGAAAATGTTAATCGATGGTGATCGCTGCACCTAATGATACAGAAGGAACTTAACATTGGATCCTCTGCCATACGTAAAGTTATTTATGAAGAACTGCATATGAAAAAATACATAGTTTACCATTGGGTTCCCCATAAGACCGGAAGACAGTCACAGCTAACTGGTACACCACTGTCTTCCAGGAATTCTTCAATAACTGAATGTTAGGAGACTCATGCTCCACCCAGGCAATGCATCTTCTCATTCAGCAAGATTGGCAGTTGAGTTTCTTGAACAGAAAAACATCTAAGGGATAAAACATCCACTCTATTCACCCGATCTAGCTATATGTGACTTTTGGCTGTTTTTTAATCTAAAAGAGAACTTATGCGGACGTCGTTTTCATTTCGAAGATGAAAATAATGAGAGACTATAACTTCGGAGACTACTTTGAACACTCCTAAAATTTCGTAAATATAATTTTAAAAACCTATGTATATCTCAACTTAGTACCTGAGCTTGGTTTTGCTACAGAAGAGAAATACAGCAAAAGGAAAATATACAATAATCTCCCTACTGATCGTATAAGCGAGCTGTGAAAGTAAAAATGCTGTTTTCCACTCATAAGCTACTGGAAACAAAACAAACATCAAACAAAAATCATATTTACAAATGTTGATTGCTGTATCCAGGGATGGATGGGCATGGTCTAACCAGCTCGGCCAACGTACATAAAAGTGCCAGTACCTTTTTTCAAACTGGGCTTTGTTTGCCAAGACACAAGGGTGGCCCAGTATAGAGACACAAAGGTAACCGGCACCCTTATGAAGTTTAGTTGAAGGAAGAAACCGTCATCAAACTACCAGGACGTCCATGCGAAGCGCGAGAAACAGTCGCCGACTTGGATAAAAGTGCCGGAACCTTTATAACATTGCATGATAGTAGATTACATGAAAATTTCTTGCTTTTATGCAATCGAGTAAATAATTAATCCAACAGTTGTGGATTTGCGACGAGCTAACGATGATGGGATTAAATCTTTTGCCCTGTAAGTTTACCCTTTCTTGCTGCATTGTATAGTTATTTACAGTTATGAATAATAGGGTTATGATTGTAGCACGAAACGTAAAAGAAATAATAAGCTCATTTCTCACTTTTTTAAGTTATATTCCCATAAACATAATAGCCTCGGAACAATGAATATGTTACATGACCGTTCAAGAACTCTGAATGAAAATGGGGGTGCAAAAATAATTAATACCCTAATAATAAAATTTTGTGAAATATTTCACATCAGTGCTATTTAAATGAATGCCATTGAATTGTTTATGTGGCTATTACTTGCTATGTTATCACAGCAAATGCAACGGCATTATTTAACTTACATTTACAAGATTTCTTCTTTGAAATGCTGTCTCATTATCCTGCACAGAATTTGAACACAATTCCTTTTATAATAAGGTAATTACATTGTAGAAAGCCATCACTTCTAATATTTAAGAAAATTTCTTATAATATTCAGATGATTTCAAATTCGCATTTTTTTTTTTTTTTAACCTGAATGATAACTTGTCACTCAGCGTTAACTTTCAGTGCACTTGAAAGGTTTCATTCACTTTAATATGCTGCAGTATTTATGTAGTTAAGCGATTATATTTACATAACATCAAGATTCGAATGTGCTACATTTTATACAAAAAAGAAATTTTGCTTTCAATCCTGGAAATATCGCAGGAAATATTCACACAATTTTTAAACGATTGAAAATAGCATTCTTCCTTTTGTATTCAGATTTTTAGTTCTAGATCTAAATTTAAATTGAAATCGTGATCTTAATGAAAATCATTGCTAACTCCGGTCATAACAGAAATGCTACTGAGCTTTATTAATGTATTATTTATTAAAATGCTTATTATTACAGAAACCCTGAAACACTATTCATATCTATAAAAATGATGTTCTGGTTTGAAAAAAGTTGGTTTTTATCATGTCTCTAATTCATATATGATGAAGTTAGCAATGAAACTCAGAATAAAAATTTACAAAGCAAAACTAAATATTAATGGGCATTAAAAACAGATTGAAAAATTTGACACTTCTTATAAGTTTGAACTTGTTTTTGCTCGCTTTAATTATTTAACCGTATTTCTTATTATCATTTACTTTCAGTCAGCTTTGATATGGAGGTAGACAAATATATTTGATTCAAAACTATTGCTTTCTCAATAATCTCAGATGAGAAAACTTCAGGGTAGGGAAGACTTGAAAAGCCAGAGATTAATCATTTTGTCCAGGACGTCCAAAATTTTTAAATATTTAAAAAAGCTGCAGAAATTAAACAAATTAGCTAAAGGAGTGCTGTTCGCATGAAAATTAATCACAAGGCGAGATCTTTTGATGAAAAGGTGGGGTGAATATTTAATTTAACTTTCCACGGTAAAGGGTATTATGTCGACAGTCGTGATCACACTCAGAGTAAAATGTTTTACTGGCATGCAAGAAACTCATTAAAGTAACTGTTCATGGTATTCGCAAACAGATGGAGTTGTTCCAATACCGTTTCAGTGTTATTGTGATCATTATTGGAGAGTTATTCACCACCATCTGTCGATGAAATTTTGATCTGAACAACGTTACCCGAAGAAATCCCTCCTTTTGCAGTTCATTTTCAGACAAGCTGTATACCGATGATTTGCATTTTTGTATTTCTTTCTTTATTAAAATTTTTGCAGCTTCTGGACTACGTTGTGTGTGTCTTTATTAGCCAAGCATCTGATTAATATTTCAAAACCAAGTATACCCTTAACTGTCAATTTTTTTTAGTCTTCTAGCAAAGGAAGTCTCTTTTCAAGTAAAATAATCTATAAATTAGTCTTATTTATATGTTGTTTTATAAATTGAAAGGTATTTTGGAATCGCAAGTATACTCTGTCATGATCTTAACATATCTGAATAGCAAGTCTATGTTTTCCTATCAAGATTTCAAGCGGCGTATCATATATGCGAATACCAGAGATTAATATTTATGTGTATAAAACCAAAAGAATATAATAACTTTTAACATTCTAATTGTAGTGATATTATATTAGTACTAAATTGTTCAAAACAAAGCACTTGCTAATTGAAGGAGTAAATACGAATAGCACATACAAGTTCTTATGCTACTTGCGTTTAGTAATTTAGTACTTTTTTCATAATGACGATAACAGTAACTACTGTAAAATATTATTGAATAATATTTTTGTTAAAAAAGGATTGGGGAAAATTCAACAGAAGTCTGTAGCTACCTACTTTAATAGTCAAACATCTAATAGTACATGTGCAGGTTCACACTTTCTTGGAATATCATTCTTTTGCTGAAAGAGAGATTTCACTATTTGCGAATTATGTCGTTTTTCTGTTTTCTTCCCTTTATATCAACAGGCTGTAATTATAAAAAAGTAGTTACGTTAGTCAAAGGAATATCTAATACATTCAAAATAAGTTTTTATTTTCTGTTTTTGTTATAAAAAGTACTTGGTTTTAATTACAACTTAAACACATAATATATTTATTCCTTTATGCTACATAAATTATTTTGTACAAGTAATATTTCTTCTGTTAGCAGACTATTCTGTTGCTAAAAACAGAAACTATAGACTGGAATTTGGAAAACTGTTCCCATTTTCATAGCTGCTCGTTCTTTCATAGCAAGATGCAGTGCTTTGCCAAATTTCAGCAAATGTCCACGTATGATATAAGGCATTGAAACATCTTTTCTATTTTATTCATAATAAGTCTGTTTCCTTTTCCTTTTATTTTTATGATCTTTCAGGAACTGGAAGCCCATTTTCAATCATCACTTTTAATATATTTTCTGTAGTCAACCTACCTTAAATGGAGTGCGATTCCTCCTGCCCACCTGATGAGGTGGAACTGGCAATGCGCTGACGCACACTTTACTGCAACCACTGTGACAGCACTTCTTGGTTCCTGGGCAATCCGAATCAGTTTTACAAACATTTAGGAATGCGGTAGTTGAAAGGGAGCAGTTGTCTGGACGTTGGTCTCCAATGGGGCAAAAGCCTTCTGTTAAAAATGAATAACATTATAAGATAAATAAAATGAAAAAAAAAAAAGAAATTAAAAACTAAATCAATAGAATAGTACTGCACATGCCGCCCAGATGGTATGTGGTTAGAAAAGCCTAGTGCAGTACCGAACGGCCCGGGTTCGAATCCTGGAGAAAGCATGGTTGTAACTGTCCATCCCTCCCTTCATAGGAGGCAACCGTGGCCGCTTATTAGGTGCCTCCACTATAAAGTGGCCACCACTTCTGGCCTTAGGAGTGACCGTTGCTGAATAGGCAAGCGCCCACCATTGGATAAAAAAATATTGCACATATCACTACAACTTAATGAATTCAATAACATAAATAGAAATCAACAGCAGAGTGCAATAACATATAAAATGAAATTTACCGACTACAACATAAGGATACAATATTGAGGAGACCGTCTGGAATTTTAGAAGGCAGTATCAGATATTATGTTCAGTAAAACCGGAATAGTAGTTAGTGACTCAGACTGCATGGGGGTACTTTAAATGTGCTGCAAGCCGAAGTCTTCCAGAAATGTTGCTGATAGCGAAAGAGGGGGTAGGCCCTCCGACCCGTTAGTCCTGGGGCGCTCTCTTTCAAAACTGGGGACGGAACTGAACAAAGTCGTACTTTCACATGCATGGTGCCCAAGGTTCTTTCGAACGTCAGGCGCAGTCTTGCCTCTTTGCCACGATAATATTAAATATATCCTAATAAAGCATAAGAAGTTCCTCCCTTTTATCTATTAACTAAGTGTTGAGGAACCTAATGAATAGCTAAGCGAATAATCGTTTAAGTTCAGAAATAGAAACGTAAACTCAAGAAGGGTTAATTACCCTTTATCGCTCAAAATAAAGATGTACAGTCGGCTCCCTTTTTTCAGGGAGTACAGCAAAGCCTCCACTTGGGTTTAAACTCAAAAGTGTAAGAAATAAAAACTAACTAATGACTAACTAAAGAGATTTAGTCGAAGCTAGCACAAATCTAAACTAGTTGGCCCCTAAATATCGAATTATCTAGCGAAGCTATCAAGGGCTCGTAATACGGCCGAGAGTAGTAACAGCTTAGAGAGACGTAGCCAAAAGGCAAACGCGCGCTATTTGGAAATTCTTGATTCTCTCTCCTGAAGTCAGTGGAACTTCGAGTTAAATACTGCGCCTTCTCATTTGCATTAAACGCGATTCAAAAAAATCATTTTGGTACTAAATTGTAAGCTGAAGCTAGGAGAGATAGGAAAGGTGCATTAACTTAAAAATAACTGTTTTAAACTTAGGATAAACCTTACAAGCCTATTAAGTATGATTTTCTAGTGCGTTCAAAAGTATCTCTAACTCTTAGAATTCGAATTACTCATATTTGCTTAATATGTAGAAGCCAAATGATTTCTCGTGTTGAAAGGATAGCTTTTATTGTTTATTCGATAATAAGCATTGTATCATTTTCTAGAAACTGCGGCCATCTCATTCTGGGTACCGAGTATTTTCTACCGCAATTTCTTACATTGCGATGTTTTTTCTTGCTTTCTTTTCTACCAGAATGTTTTTATCCTGGTGTTGTCTTTCCACCACATTTTCAATCCGGTTGTTATTGCCGCAATGTTTTCGGGGGACGCCATGATTCTGATCACCCGACTTTTCCTGATATTTACCGCCATTACGCAATATTTTTTGGTTTGGGGATTGGAATCAAAGCTTACAGGGATAATCTTTTGATTGTGAAAGATCTAGAGTTCATCATTATACGGCAGTTAAGGAAATCACTTCCAGTTTAAGAAATTTCGCATGCAGTGTTGCATCCGACAGCTTCTAATACGAGCTGTAATATACATGTTTGCCCTGAATCGCGTAGATCTATCATGCGCTTTAATATTGTGCCCCTAACAGGAAGTTCTCTAGGAAGTTTTAGTAAACCTTTCTACCTAGCATACATAAAGCATGCAGTAGTAAATATGCATATATTGGACTGCTGTGGTTGGTCTTTTATTATTCTCGGCTTAATATTGTATGCGCTGTTCTTTTAAGAGCCCCGCAGGGGGTATATTCCTAGCATAGAAGGAAGTCCATAAATCTAAAAACCCACTTACCGTCTACAATGAAGTCCAACAAATGTCAAGTGGATAAGACCGCCGAACACGGGTAGTTCGTTTCGGATTCATTTCCCCTCGAAAGACACGCTTGCATGGGTTCTTTCCGATTTGCCGCAAGTGCAACACTAATAGGAGCTAGTTTTTCTTAGAAAATGCTTTCAAAGTTATTGCTTAGGCAAATACACGCTCTTTGCTATAACCAGTTATCCAACCACCCCTTCAAAATGATGCAATCGCCGTTTTGTCTCTGCATTAAGCACAAAAATCTTTCGATTTTTCCATACTATGCAAATAATTCATTATTTAAAGCTAAAATTTCTTGACTTTAGGAACACTCTGCATTTTAAATTATGAATTAAATATGCCTTAGTTAATAATGGGCTTAAATTTAAATTAGAGCAGTTTTTTATACTGCTAATTAACCTTTTGCATGATTTACATGGTAGAGCAGAGATCTGAAATCTGTGGTACGAACTTGGGATGTTCTTTAGTTTTTCATTACTTCAATCTGTTTAACTTCTTCAAGCATATTCTCGTGTAATAAATTAAACCTTTCCTTAACCCAAATATATTTTTAAATACTATTTATTTCTGGTATTTTCGGATGTAACAAAGAAAATCAAAGGTATGTTTTGACTCCAGAAACGATCGACATAAGAGAATATAATTTACATAAGATGCTGTATTTAAGCTAGTTTAACGCCATCTTGAGACGTTTGTATGGAATATAATACTTCATATTAAGCTTAAGCTTCCTATATTGCAACTTCTGTAAAGATCAAGGATGAAATCTAAATATATATGTATTTGTTCAAAAATACTTTAGAATGAGAGTTTAAATTGTATTCACAAGCAAAGACCACAACTCTGAAATTTAGAAAAATGGAAGCTTTGAAGCGATAAGACGCACATAATTCTTCAAATGCTCGAGGGGAAGCGTTAAATGTATTCTGAGTGTAATTTTAATAAAACTTATTTAAAGAAATACATTTTAATCGCGGCTACAGTTACATATATTTGTTACTGAAAGCAATCAGTCTCAAAATGATATCAAGTGGAATATTGAGAGCGTGGCTAAGTTATGCAAAGCGCGGTTGTTGAATTCCTTGCTACGTACAGACATCTCAAGCCATTGCCTAAAAATGAGGTAAATAGGAACGTCGAGTAATTAGAGGTCACAAAGCAGGAATAAGCATTTCCTAATATTTATTATTTCCGATATTTAACGTTATTGCAATGTTCTCAATTATATTTATTATATTTACAGCTTCATTATTTCTCCGAAACTACATCGCTTAAATTTGAATACTGATAGCTCAATTAAATTTTTTTTTTCAGATTTATTAAGCGAATTAGAAACGAGATCTATAGGCTTTTCAGGAGACATATTATGTTTAAATACTTACCGGTTCAGCAGTTTCCTAGACGTTATTATTTGCACCGACTAAGGAATTCTAAACGATAGGCGTGCTAATAGTAATGGTACTTCATAATAGGTAGATTAAATTATTTGGATATGGTAAATCATACAAAGGCTATCTGCTTAGAGGTAGGGATGCCGTCGTTGTGGACTTTCTTAGAAAAACAGCTCTTACTTCCTTTACACGTGGAGAAAACAGCGAAAAATACCCACACAGCCAGCTCATTTACCTGGATTCGAAACCAGGTCCAACTACCAGTATTCAGCGAAAGTAACCTCTCAACTCAGAGGGAAGGCTCTCCGTATCAACTTAAATCCGAGTCCTGTGAAAATGAACTGTAAAACCCATATTGGTACACTGTAAGAAATTACCTCCATGTAGTTAAAAATTGAAATAAATACTTGTAAAGTATCATTTAATTTTCTAACAGGTTATTTTAAATTAAAGTACCTTTCCTATCAAACCTCATTTCCTTTCCCTGCCCGAATTCAAATTTCCAGCACAAGCGATATTCAAATTAATAGGAAGGAGGAAGTATTAAAGGAAGGTTTTGAAGGGTGAAATTACAGCGTGTTCTCGCTGCTCGAAGGGCACGGTGCTAGCTTTGATTCTCTAGCAATTAGAATTCTTCGGCGTTGAGTTATTGTTGCCATTAGGCTTGTTTACGCTGACTTCCAATCACAGCCAGCTCGAGCAATAGTTAAAGTGTGAAGCGTTAGGCTATACTTAACTTCATCAATTTTAAGTTTAATCATTACCGTTTGATTTACACAAAAAAATGTTGGCTTCTGTGAGCACGAGCTGGTGTCGACTGTTAAACTTTATTTGAGTTAATAAAGGGTTCTATACACTCTTCTGCTTTGTAGTACTTTAAAAGACATAGTGATAATTCACTAAACAGTTTTGCAACGTCGACTACATTTTATGATAGCTAAGAATACTCGACGTCAGATACTTAAATTAACATTGATTTTTACCATTGATTTTTTTTACTCATGAAATTGATCAATTTGGTTTCTTAAAAGTCTCATATACGTATATTACCAGATCCTCTGCACAGTTTAGAGGTTACAGACTTTTTAGTCTTCGTGAGATTTCTCTGAGAACGTTGGCTTACATACAAATTTTCACAATAGGAAACTATGCAAGACATAACCATGTACTTGGTTATTGCTATATGTTTTATGTATAGTTGAACAAGTTTAAATTGTGCTTAAAGTTTTTTAATAAAGGAAGATGCTTATTATAAATGCTTTTAGCAGGGCTTCAGCTTACATATTTTAGGGTAAGATACTGCAAACTTGATGTTCTGATATAGCTGTGTTTCAATCACTAGCAGTACATCTTTAATATGTTTCATTCTTATAGGATTATAACTGCTACAGAAACTGATAAAATGTCTTATAATACAGCAAAGAAGTGCTGACAAATGAGCAATAACATCAGTAATACTCTAAAGTTGTTTTATTCGGAAAAAACTTTA